TGTGTGTGTGTGTGTGTGGTGTGTGTGTGTGGTGTGTGTGACACACACACACACACACACGCGCCCAGGCAGGGCCGCTTCAACAGTTTCATGTGTGCATGAACTGAGCAGCCTTCGAATGTGCAAAATGAGAAGGAGAGTATGGAGCAAGGGGCTGTGAGATGCAACCCATCCCGAATCCCCTCCCCATCCTTCTCCCGCTCCTCCTCCTGCTCCTCCCACTCCTCCTCCTCCCGCTCCTCCTCCGCCAAACAACGTGACAAAGATTCCGCCATAGCCCCGCTCCCACTCTTTCTCCCATTCCTCCTCCCTCTCCTCCTCCCTCTCCTTCTCCCGCTCCCTCTCTTGCTGCTCCTCCCGCTCCTGCTGCTGCTCGTCCTCGTTCCGCTGCTTCTCCTGCTTTTCCCCCCGTTCCTCCTCCCCCTCCTCCCGCTCCTCTTCCCGCGCCATAGCCCCGCTCCCTCTCCTTCCCCGCTCCTCCCACACCTCCTCCCGCTTCTTCTCCCGCTCCTCCCACTCCCCCTCCTCCTCCTCCTCCAAACAACGTGACAAACATCCCGCCATAGCCCCGCTCCCGCTCGTTCTCCTGCTGCTCCTCCCTCTCCACCTCCTTGTCCTTCTCCCGCTCTCCCTCCTGCTGCTTCTCCCTCTCCCGCTGCTTCCCCTGCTCTTTCCCCCGTTCCTCCTCCCGCTCCTCCCGCTTGTCCTCGTGCTCCTGCTGCTTCTCCTCCTCCACCTATATCTCATCCCCCTCCTCCGCGTCCCACGTGTTCGTTAACCCCCTCCCCGTTTCCCCTCCTGCTCCTCCTCCCGCTCCTTCTACCACCCCTCCTCCAGCGCCTCCTCCGCCCCTTCCCGTTTCTCCTCGTGCTCCTTCTCCTGCTCCTAACCCCCTCCCCATTTCCCCTCCAGACTCCACGCTCCTCCTCCCGCTCCTCCTCCAGCGCCTCCTCCGCCCCTTCCCGTTTCTCCTCGTGCTCCTTCTCCTGCTCCTAACCCCCTCCCCATTTCCCCTGCCGCTCCTTCTCCAGCTCCTCCTCCCGCGGCTCCTCCGCCCCTTCGCATTTCCCCTCCCGCTCCTTCTCCCGCACCTGCTCCCGCTCCTCCTCCCACACCTCCTTTTCCCACTCCTTTTCCCATCCCTCCTCCCGCTCCTCTCGCTCCTCCTCTCGCTCCTCCTCCTGTCTCTTATACACATCTAGATGTGTATAAGAGACAGACATGGAGGAGTGTGATCGGTTTCCAAATCAATGGTGTGGGATACGCCACGATCCGGAGGTAATCCGGCGGGCAAGGACTCGGGGAAGACGTCCTTGAACTCGTCGAGGATGGAGGTGAGGGCGGG